CTTCATTGCTTTCTGAAAATCATTCACTCTGTTTGATTTTCATTTTTAGAATTCACTTTTCAGAAAATTCTAGGCGTTTGTTTGGAAGAGGATTTTCAAATCACAATTCTACCCACACATTCTAATATCATGTTTGGATAGAGTTTTCCAACTATATTTCCGCAACAAACACAAAATTCTGTGTAAAGTGCGATTTTCGAATTTTTTTTTTTTGAAATTTGGCCTAACCGGTCGTACCACCGGATGTCCAGCCGGTTGACCAGAACAGTGCATTATATATATATTTTTTTTGCAATTGACATATGTTATTTTATATATTCGAAAAAAATATATTTCGAATTTTTTAAAATTAATAGAATTTTGAGTTGTATGTTTGGTTATGAGTTGTAAGTTTTTGTATCAAATATCATATTTTTCACATTGTCCGATATTAGAGCTTTTGGTATGCCGAACCGGGTGATGATACTCTGCCAGACGAACTATTTCACATCCTTTTCCTTGATTGATGCTAATGCTTTTGCCTCCACCTACTTTGTGAAGTAGTCTGTTGTTGCAAGGAAGAATTTCCTGTTTCCGGGTGTCGTTGGAAGTGGTCCTACTATGTCCAAGCCCCATATTGCAAAGGGCCATGGGCTTGTCAATGGTAGGAGTTCTCTGGCTGGCTGATGTATTTGGTGTGTGAACTTCTAACATTTCTCGTACTTCTTGACATACTTCTCCGAATCTGCTTATATGTAAGGCCACCAATATCCCTGTAAAATTGCTCTGTAAGCCAATGATCTCCCCCCTTGGTGGCTTCCGCATACGCCTTCGTGAATTTCAAACAAGAATGCTTCCACTTTGCTGGGGTGGATACACTTTAGGTAAGATCCTTTGAAGGATTTCTTATACAATGCCATTGATGGGGAGAGCCAAAAATGTTGTGACTTTGCTCTTATTTTGTTGGCCTCTTTTTTCTCTTCCGGTAGGACACCATCTTTTAAGAACGCTATGATGGGATCCATCCATGAAGGGCCTAGTTCGGCGCAACATACTTCTTCTACTTCAGGTTCTTCAATGCTTGGTCTTGGTAAGTAGTCAATCAGTAACGGATGTGGAATGGATGTATCTGCCATTGAAACAAACCCTGCTAGTTCGTCCGCTCTACTGTTTTCTTCCCTGCCAATCTGCTCTATCCGTACTACTTCAAATTTCTTGATCTCTTTTCTGACTAACTCTTGGTACTTAGCCATCCTGTCGTCCTTTGCCTCGTAGTCACCTGAAATTTGGTTTATCACCAACTGTGAGTCACTGTAAACCATTAGCTCCGTGGCCTTCATGTAGGATGATGATTTTAAGCCTGCCAGAAGCGCTTCATATTCCACTTCGTTGTTTGATACTGGGCAGCCAAGGTTGACTGCTTGCTCCACCACTAGGCCATCTGGTGAGATGAGGACTATGCCTAGTCCTGCGCCATGCCTGTTGGACGCTCCATCCACGAAGAGCTTCCACATCTCTCCAACGAACAGTTTCCAGCAAGTGGAAGGATCAGATGATGCCTTGGGATCAAGAGTGTTGCTGGTGTTTTCTTCAAGGTCCATACTTGCTTTTTGCCCCTCGCTATCTGATTGTACCAAGTCTTTATTTGTTAGTGAGTCTTGGCTTGGTGTAGCATGGTTTGCTTCTTCCTCCCTTACTTTACTCTAGTCTGTCTTAAGGTCTAACTGGGTATCCTGCACCAGGGGTTGTGTTATTCTGGCGTCAACTTCCAACCCTAGTTCGTTTGTATCAGTCAGGTCGACTAGGCAGATATGATGACTTCCTGGGGTGAATTCTGCGACAAAGTCTGCCAGGGCTTGGGCTTTTATCGCGGTTCTGGGTTGGAACTTGATGTCAAACTGTCCCAACTCGACTGCCTACTTCAAGACTCGTCCAGAAAAGTTCGCCCTCTCAAACAAAGCTTTTAATGGAAAAGTTGTGAGAACGATTATTGTGTGGGCGTGAAAGTAGTGCAACAACTTCCTTGATGCCATCATCAAGGCTAAGGCCAGTTTTTTTCAATGGTAAGTACCTGGTTTCTGCGCTCAGCAATGTCTTGCTGACATAAAAGATGGGTAGATGTTGGATTCCTTCCGCTCGGACCAACACTGCGCTAATTGCGTGCTGTGAGACTGCCAGGTACAAAAATACCTCTTCTCCAAGTATTGGGGTCACTAGCAGCGGTGAAGAAGACATGTATTCTTTCAAACTTTCAAGGGTGCGGTCGCATTCTTCATCCCACTCAAACTTGGCCTTTAATGTTTGAAAAAATGGTCGACATCTGTCTGAAGACTGACTTATGAACCGGTTTAGCGCGGCTGCCATGCCGGTGAGATGCTGTATTTCTTTCATAGAGTTGGGTCTCTCTAGTTCCTGAATTGCTTTGATCTGAGAGGGGCCTGCTTCTATACCTCGGATGGTCACCAAAAAGCCTAGGAACTTGCCAGATCCTACGCCGAACGCACACTTGGATGCATTAAGGCGTAGTTTGTGCTTCTTCAGGATCTGAAACATCTCACCTAGGTCCCTGAGATGGTCATTCTTATTCTTGCTCTTGACCACCATGTCGTCGATCTAGGCTTCCATTATTCTACCTAACAATGGTTCGAACATCTTGGTGACCATCCGTTGGAATGTTGTCCATGTGTTCTTAAGGCCAAAGAGCATGACCTTGTAACAATATAGTCCTCTTGGCGTCGTAAAAGATGTAACCTCCTGGTTTGGTTCATACATGGCGATCTGATGGTACCCTCTGTACGCATCAAGAAAGCTAAGACGGTTGTGTCCTGCCGTCAGATCTACTAATTGGTCTATCCGTGGTAGAGGAAAGATGTCCTTCGGGCATGCCTTGTTGACTGTTTTGTAGTCCACACAGACACGCCATTTTCCATTCTTCTTAGGTACCACTATTGTATTAGAGATCTATCTACGGTAGTGCACCTCTCTGATAGCTCCTACTTCTAGCAGGTTTTCTACTTCTTCCGCCACTATCTCGGCATGGTGGAGTGCCGATCTGCGAGTGCGTTGTATAATTGGTCTGGCAGTTGGGTGGACATTCAATTGGTGACAGATGAAGCTTGGGTCAATGCCAGGCATGTCATAGAGCGTCCAGGCAAACATTTCGATGTTAGAGGTCAAGAATTCCATGACCTCTATTCTCTCAGTGCTGGACATAGATGAGCCAAGCAAAAAAAAACTTATCCGGGTTCTTTTCATCTATTCTTACCTGTACCAAGTCTTCCACTGCCTTCTGTTCAGCGGCTTTGCCAACATCCGCAAACAATTCATTATTCTCTGGCTCTTCCACCATCTGAACAAACCCTTTGGCAGCTCAACTGCCATTTACTGTGACAAAGCATTGCCTGGACATAATTTGGTCTCCATAGACCTCTTCAATTACTCCGGCTTCGCTGGGGAACCGCATTACTTGATGGTAGGTTGACGCTACTGCTCTTATGGCATGCAACCATGTCCTCCCCAAGATTATGTTGTAAGTGGAAGAGAATTTTAATACCCAAAACTCGACTTGTTTCGTCATGCTTCCTGCTCTGACTGGGAGGATAATATTGCCCACTGGCCACTCTGGCATTGAGTTGAATCCGATCAGGGGAGATACGGCAGGTGCCAAGTCTTTGTCTTCCAGTTTCAATTGTTTGAAGGTTTCGTAATACATTATCTCACATGAGCTCCCTTGGTCGATCAATATTCATTTGACATCGTAATCCTTGATGCGAAGAGTGACGACCAGTGCATCATTGTGAGGACAATATATCCTTGCCAATTCTTTGTCTGAAAAAGACATGACGTTCGTGGCCTCTATTTTCCCCTTTTTAATGGTGGGCTACATACTTAATACCTCCCTTAAGTTCTCAGCCTTCTTTATTATTTCCCTGAGCTCACAT